TATTCCTCCAATGGTGATTCTCAGGACCGAATTTCTCTTAACTTAGGCAATGATCAACTACTTACAAATTTCTTAATAGACACACATAAAGTTCTTATTACACTTTTTTTTCATGATAGCTAACGTTTCGGTGGTTTTCACCTCCTTCAGAACACGGAAAAAGTTAACTAGCACTTAGTCAGCCAAATACTTTCATAACGCCAATAGAAAAGCGCGGGAGCTTAAATTTAAACCGCATGTAGGAAAAAACTTCTTCAAGTGCTCTTTGCTTGCTGTGATTTTTTTATACGATCCGTCTTTCAAATCTACTGTGCGGGTTTTGATACTTTTTGCACTCGATTCGTTTTCCTCGTATCCTTTATCCACGAAGGTCCTCCAGCTTTGCGTGTTGATTCTGCTGCTGCTTGAAGATTTTCCTTTCGTCATGAATGGCGTTGAATGTTGGTCGAAACGATTATCCCTGGAGTCCTGAGACAGCCGCCGGTCTGGAACATTCCCACTTATATTTGAACTTTTCCCAGGCAAGTCCTGCAGCAAGTTCACGACCATAGAGGGATGAAAGACTTGTTGAGTCCGATGGAGGACCAGACTACCACGACACTCGTGACGATCAACATCACTACCACTGGATCACCCCCTCCCTCTATCTGTTATGCTTCCCATTATCGACCGCACAGAATTTACATGAGTTGGTCACAGGCCGGTATCGCGTCAAAAGACCGATGTAACATATTGTGGGAGATCACGAGTAAAAACGAGCATTAAGCATTTCAGTTCGCCGTTGGACTTATAGCGAGAACATCTTTTTTGTGTGAAGAAACACCTAATTGGAACGCTTAAAATCAGAAAAATACACATCACTGTGCACCCATAGGGTGGAGAAACACAACCGAAATTTTGAAATAACAGTCACTATTCTATTTCAAGAATCTAAAACTTCAGTAGGGAAAACTCCCTACGCACATGGAGGACCACCTTGTGATTACGCGTAACCTCGCCCTATACTTTAGAGTGATTTTTTGACCTGAGCTATGCACACTGTCCACCCATGTAAACCGTGTGTGGTTGGTCTCTCCGAATAAGTGGGAAACTCATAAAAAAATGGTGAGTTTCTGAGGAAGTCGTTTCCGATGTGATTGAAATTTAAGCTTCGAGATTTGTCTGTCTGGGTCATGGACGTGTTTGGCTGACTGGATTGCCCATCAGCTTGACCTTTCCAGCCTCTGAAAAGTGCGAAATCCGCCGAAACGTTAGTTATCGTGAGCAAACAGTGTAATAACAATCTCGTATCTGTTCATCAAGAAAACAACCAATTCTTCTGATGTTTTCTTTTTTCTTCATTTCGGTTGATTCACTTCATACGACATAGAGCCCGATTTTCCAACTCCAATATCCCATAGAATGTGGTCAAGATTGGTTAGCATTCAAATCAACACCGACACTCTTCTAGAAGACTGGAGTCGAACGGCCCGAACAATATTGTTGGAGGACATCAAGCGAGCAATACTTAAGCACGCTAGGCATTTCGGGACAGCTCATAAGAAATCCCAATCAAATGAAACCGATCCACCATCACTAAATCATATCGTACTAATTCATGATACCTTCTGACAGCAATGAAAATGAAAAATGAGGAAATAGGAGGCTTCGAATAAGATCTGTTGAGATAGAAGAAGACCTCAAAAGACATCACGTCGTATAGAAGACCTGTCGCCTGTAGTCCCGTTGATCGTCGAGTAACTCGAGCGGGAGCCAGTAAATCTTCCATTTTTCCACGTCGCGTGCAAGAGTAGCCCAGTGGGTTCCGCTCGCTCTAGGGACTTGTCGAGCATCATATCTTCCTTCAAGGCTCTTTGTGAAGAACTGTGACCATCGGGTCGGTGGTCTTCCTGGAGTACATTTGACATCCAAGGAACCCAGCCACTAACGGGTCTTGTCCATGGGCTGTCATTCATACGCATTACGTGTCCGGCCACCATATCTTCGACTGTTTGGAGTACAGAACGGCATCTTTGATTTTTGATCGTCCACGCAGATCGGAGCTTCGGATTCCATCCCTTACTTGTGTGGAACGGGATACTCCTACCACCGTCCTTTCGACTGCGCGTTCGCTAATGCTGAGTTACCTTTCATCCTGCTTACGCAGCGATCAGGTTTTTGACGCATACCTTAGAGCAGGAAGTACCGTTGAGTCGAAAAGGTGGACACGGAGTCGGGTGTTCTTTGTTCTCTTCACTACATCCTCGATGCTCTTGAAAGCTCCCCAAGCCGCTCGTTTTCTTCTGCTCAGCTTTGGAGCTAGGTCATTCATCACATTGATTTCCCGACCTAGATAGATATAACTGGAGCATTCAGAGATATACGTTCCGTTGAGCGTTAATGGAGCATGCGAAACTAATCCGTTCTTCATGAACATCGTTTCTGTGAGATTTAGTCGAAGACCAATCTTTCCACAGGCTTTATGAAAGTCGTCAAGCATACGTCCCGCCTGACTAATGTTTGGTGTTATAAGGACAATGTCATCAGCAAAGCGAAGATAACTGCCGACCGTCGATTTTCAGTCCTATATTATCCCATTCCAATGTTCGCATGACGTTCTGGAGGATGCCGGTAAATAATTTTGGCGAGATGGTATCGCCTTGCCTAACTCCTCTTTCGACGTCAATGTTAATATCGTTGTAGAATGGTGATATCTTATCTTGCTTGTGAAATTTTTGTACAGCTCACGAAGAATCTTTATGTAATGAGTAACGACTCCTTGAGTATCAAGGGCTTCCCAGACTGCTTCCATCTCAACTGAATCAAAGGCCTCCTTTAAATCGATGAGAGTGAGACAAAGCGGTCTTTTGTACTCTCGCGATACTTCAATGAGCCGTGTTACCGTGTGGATGTGGATGTGGTCCATCGTATTAAATCCTCTTCGAAACCCTGCTTAGCGCTAACGTGAAGATGTTGAATGAGCCGATCGTATTCCTCGTCGATATTATCGACAACGGCATCTTCCCGACAGCCGACTAATGAATTGAATAAGTCCCAGTTTGTGGTGGTTCTGGGACTTCGGTTCTTGAGTTTAGCGGCTTTTTCTCCTTTCCGCTAGAAATAGAATCTTGCCCGAAGAAGACAATGGTCTGATCCCGTGTAGAATTTTGGGATAACAGCGACATCGGTTAGGCAAAACCTTCTATTTACTATGATGTGGTCTATTTCGTTATGGTACTCTCCATTGAGAGACTCCAACGTCCAGCGTTGAGGGTGCGGCTTGTGGAATTGCGAGTTACCATGGATTTCTTGGTCGCCATGATAAACTCAGACAGCCGCTCACTTTGTTCGTTCCATTCTAATCCGTGGGTCCCAATGTGACGTTTTTCAGACGTTCTTCTTGGTCCAATCTTGGCGTTGAAATCTCTAGTGACGACCTTGAAGAATGTATGGCTTTCTCTGTAGAACTTCTCCAAGTGCATATAGAACGCTTTGACTTCTTCTTCGTCATAGTTTGATGTCGGGGCCTAAACGACGAAGATTGTCAAAGCAGGAATTGATCCACGTCTTTTTAATCGTAAACGTCCGATTCGGATTGTAAGTTGTTCGAATGAATCCGATGTTCATGGACAAACTCGTGTTGACGAGAACGCCGATGCCGCCGACTCCTCTACTGTCGTATATTCTGGAGAACAGTTCTCCTTCGGTGTCATAGATGGCGTTGAATGGGTGGCGTTGTCTCGTCTCGGCCAGCCCGATGACGTCGTACTTTATTCTTCTTGCTTGCATTAACAAGTCTTATATCGAAGACTCGGATGCAAATGTACGTGCATTGTAGGTACAAATCGTCACCGTAGCTCTTTGAAATCCAGGCGGCGTCTATTGGCTCTGAGGTTTTAGCAGCCACTCCGTACTCACTCTAACCAACGCTGCCGAATTGGTGTCTCTTTCGGGGTCAGGGGAATGCGGCCCGTTTCTTTTACTGTTTTTATCTTCTTGATACCCACATATAGTTTACTGGGCCCTGAACGTGGAGGCTGGGTATACTTACGGTAGCTTACCAGGCTCTCCCAGAGTGGACATGGAGCTTATTTGTTATAGGCGACTCCTAACCGCCTCCTATACACTTCCCTGTCACTTGATTGCAGGCTTTTGGCGGAATTGACTCGTAGAATACAATCCCCATAAGCAATAACGCACCCACACTCGCTTGCATGAATACGCCTGGCAAAAACAGAAAGTATGTGCCAAATCAGCGCAGCAGAAGCAGGGAATCCATCCTCTGTATCCACCTTCGTCTCAGGGAAGCAAAGATCGCTTTTGGTCCGCGATTAACCCCCTATCCGCCACCTAGGGACGAGCCACATAGCCTCGCGGCTAACCGGCTCAAAATCCCTCATATGAAGGAGATCCGAGAGTCCGGAAAGTACTACGCTTAAATAAGAGGGTTGTTAGTGGGACAACGACTGACGCCAAGTCATGCCATTGCGTTTATATTTAAGGTGGAAGCACCAGTGACCGATCTCCTGCCGTTACTCTACTATAGATATGTAGACGACTGTTTTGTCGTTTGCTCAGCACAAGAGGGAATGGGCAAATGTTTCGAGTTGTTGAAAAACTCCAAAAAAGATCAAATTGCCGGAAAGTCACCATGTTTTTTAAGAAATGTGGACTAATGGAGGAACAGCTTTTTAATAGCAAGTTCTGGCAAAAGTTCAGCACTGATTCTAGTGCCTTTCCCAGCTAGCGAGTACATGGACTAAATTTAGCGCGACCAGCCGTAATGAAGATTAGAACTCTGCTTAATTAGAAGGCGATTTTAGAACCTTGTCATTATCCACTTTTATTACTTAAAACGCAGAACGTCTTCTTGATGGACAGTTTCAAACGCAAAATTCTTAGTGATGAGGGTTGCAGGTCGGCAGAATGTATACGGTACTTACTAAATCTCTAAGAAAAGTGTATCGGAACTAAATTAACGTTGAATTTTATCAGCTCCATCAGCTATGAAGCGCTTGTGAATGAGAGTGAGCGCTGAGGATTTTGTAGGTTTCCGTCACCTGCCGTTGCTGAACAACAAGGGTGATCCGTTGCCGAATGCCACTCTGTTTGTTCACGTCGCCGTCACCAACAAACGTGGTGGAGGAGTAAGTGCTAATGTATAAGTTTATTCAATTAAATGTTACTTCATTTCACGGACAAAATTCATCGCATAATGTCAACAGAAAGATCTTATTCACGTAAAAAGTCTTTTGCTTTTTTTTGTACTTTTCTCTCATTTTTCTCAGAATGTCTTTGCAAGGAAGTGGTTCACTACCGTGAATTCGTTAGTGCAATTTCCATCCAGTAGAATTGCATTCATTAAAGAGAAGATATGTTGCTCAGATTCCCACATTCATGGCTCGTTTGCAGAAAATGCTTTGACATACTGGTCTTTGGTGAGATCTCGATGATTTTTGTTCGAATAGTCCTCTCAGAGTCTTGAAAGAGATCGTTAGAGGAAGGAGATTCTGCATTTAATGTTTATTTCAGATGTTCAACTCTCAAAAAGGCGAAGCAAATCACCCCCATATTTCACTTGAATTCAATAGCCCTGCATGTTAAAAATTTATCATAGTCTTTTTATGGGTAGAATTCGAATTTAGGAAGTAATCCTTGCTCATCATTGAAGTCGTTAGGTTTCTTTCAATGCTTCTTCACATTACCATGGTCATCTAATAGTGAAGGACCGTTGAATAGTAAACTCTGAGTTCTTCTGTTCTTTGAAACTTTTCCAATCAATTGTGTACATTCTGTTTCCAAAAATATTTCTCAAGTCTGGTTTATCTTCAGTATGGGCGGTGTAGCGCAGTGGTTAGAGGAGCTCTGCAATACACCTGAGTTCGGTCCCGTGCTCCAGTTCCTCCTGGCCTTCCATTTCTCAGAATTCGTTAAATTGGTTCCAGACCTGTCTGGGAGGATAGCAGCACTGACTTGATACATCGGTAGGCCATCGCGAGTGATTGTATAAGCCAAATTTGCATTAAATCACCTCTAATGATGCTCATTGAAGTCGAATGCATGGCGTACCCATCTGGGATTGATCAACGCCGACAGCCTTATCCTTCATTTTAACAGAGTTTTAAGTCACGAAGGAAGACGAAGTGGACTTGTCATTTTGGCAGAATTATTTCAACTGGACTGAAAAATATTTCGACTGAAATTGCAAATTTAATAAGTAGGCTTTGGAGTGTTACAAAGCAACAGTGTAAGAAGCAAACACACGTCCCAAATCATTAAACCAACCGAAGGTATTTTTCAAGTTTTTCTCACGAATTTCCTACCGACAAATTCAATCATTACCTTTATTCGAACCTAGAGTAAAGTTCTGCTTATACTATTTGTATAGCTTTGCTGAAGGACGCCTGTGGCGCAGTGGTCGGAGGCTTCCTGCGACACACATGTGGAATCGGTCCTCGCGTCCATGACCCACCAAGCGTTCCATATCTCTGGGGTCGGCGAATTGGGACGAGATTTGTTTAAGAGGATAGCAACACTGGCTCGATACATCGGTAGGCCACTGCGAGTCATTGTAAAGGCCAGATATGCATTCAATCCCTCCAACGATACTTAATAAAGTCGAATGCATGATGCATCCCTCAGGGATGGATCAAGGCCAAGAGCTTTATCATTTTCTTATAGCATTGCTGAATTCGTACAACCCACAAAGTTGTCCACTTCATTTTTATCCAATTCGCATTTTTTCTTACGAGTTTGTTCGTCAACATGAGTCATTTCGCTGTTATGAGGAAACAATCTGGAACATACGCATTAAACTCAATGCATACTATGCGTGAAGGAAATTTGTCGTTCCATTACGGGATCATCATCGCTAACTGAAATAGACGGCCAGCAAATCATGTTCGCCTTTGCGATGGTCAAGATCGAGTCGCGCTGGTGTGCACGCAAAATTCGATAAAAGTTAGTTTTCAGAAGGCCAAGAAGCGCGGTATGTCAGTGAAACGGAAATTCGCTCGTATGAACACAGGAATGAAGCTCGTCGGAATAAAGGCGAGTTTTCTATGGTGCATGCATGACTTCCAGTTTATGACCTTCCTCAAAATTTCACTACAATGCATCCAAGACCGAGAATTTATAACTCGTATTTGTTCATATGTAGAAATTAGAAATGTCTATTTTACTACTGTAATGAAATGACCAACGCTTCTATTCTTGGGCAACACTGAGCCTATTTAACTCTGAGTGCTCAAAAATTCCCGAACATGTTCAACACTGCTAGCCGAAATCTCTCTTTGGTCCACCCGAATCCATATGATTCTGAATTAATCTATTGACTTTTAACAAAATAATGCATATATTGTCTCCTAAATAACTGCAAGGATGCTGAGATATGAACAAAACCTGGAACCCCAGTTGGGCTTCAAACCAGCGATTATCCTTTCCTGCGCTAACCTCTGTCCACCATCCCAGCCAAGACCCGTTCTTTGCCTTTCTTTAGGCCATGTTCTTACTTCATCGCTGCTATCAGCAAGCACTTCACGGAAACTTCACATAGTATCCTGCTATGAAAAAGAAAAAGGATAGCCAATAAACAGGAGTTAACACATTTGATTTTAACTGCAGCTTCAGCTTAGTTGAGCGGGTTTGTGCTCAACGGATCATTCTCTTTGACGAGTGATTGCTGACAGTACCGATGAAGTAAGAATATGGTCGAAAGAAAGGCAAAGCAAGGGTCTCGGTTGATGTGCAGGTAGTACGTGAGCCCCAGGTAAAGATAATAGTGGGTTTCAAGACTGCTTAAGGTTCCAACTCCTGCTGCTAATGTCTCAACTTTCTTGTGGTTGTATACCACATAATAAAATTCCATAGAAAAAGTAGGCAGTAGGTAAAAGTTAGTATGTTGGGTCCTAAATAATCTAAAGTTTGGTTATAACTTGAAACACTATGACTAATAATGAGTGATCATTGCTCATATACATTCTCATGGTTTTCAACTTCAGAAAATTCACCTTCTACTCTTGTTCCCAAATTCTCACGAATTGATTTAATAACAGTTATCAGCTCTTTCTATGAATCTGGAATATCAAGTGAAATGCGCTATTCTCAATGAACACATTAGTTGTTTTCAGACAGTCGACGAACAATTCAAAACTGCTGTCGCTCCTCTCTGCGAATCGATCGCAATGCGCAATAAACTTGAGGCTGCGCTGGTAAGACCACTAAGTAGCCAATAAGTTTGGTTGAACTCCTGTAAAGATTTTAAGAACTACGAGGATTGAACAACGGATGGAAATGTAGGAAAGGGACTAAAGCTGATAGATTATGCGAATCATTTTTTAAAAGTTGTAGGTAGAGTGGCAAGAAGAATGCGGCCTTGGACCGGCTGGCACGATTCGTCAAGGAATTCGCCTTATACATTCAAGGATGGTCACATTAGCAGTGAATTGTATGTCTCAAACTATAATTACCTCATCTATGAAAGTACTGAGAGTTTTCAGCAACACCACCTTCGTCACCGTCAATCGGCTCAGAAATAAGTCGCAGTCAGGAAGTTCCGTCGTTTATGATTGAGAGCGATGACAGAAATGTATGTGTTTCCTCGTGATTCTATACTTCTCTTAGGCGTTGTTTCATAGTTCACACAGCTCACAACAACTGCAATATGACCAGTTTGTTCAGTAAAAATCTCCTTCATACGGATGCATTGTACTAGATGCACGTGCTGTGCCACCAAGATAACTCTCCTCGGGTGCAATGCAAAATTTAAAGCGTCTATGTGTTTCTTTATCTTGCGGTTGTCGTGCGGTGAAGAGAACAGCCTTTCATGTAACAACGGAAAGCACACGTGAGCGTGGAAGCAAATGCCAACTGCAAACTCAGCTTTTTTATTCAACCGTCAGACATACTGTTCAGTTTTATCTTCTTCTACATGACGTCACGCCCATAAGAGATGGATGTAAATTCCGCTCAGGTACCACTGTTTCTTGCGATTTAGCCGGATGGTCAGTTCTCTGTTTAACTGCGATGAAAATGAACATCCATCGGCATTCGCACTATAAAGAACGATTTGAATAACGCGTATGAGGACCAGTATTCCAAGAAAAAAGCAACACCATGTTTGTCGAGCTAATAAACCGTTGACACAAAGTGTCGTACATCGAATAAGCGGAGACTGCTCGATCCAGTAGTCGATCATTGCACCTAGAAGCTCACAAGTTATTCACAATACCATCTACTTTTACTTGGTTCCCTTTCAAATGGTTACTATCCGGCTGACTCGCAATATTTTATTCCTTTCTTCGTTAAGCATTTTTCACATTATCTTTGCTTCGTTGACATTGAGCATCAACACCATCATTTTTGGTTTCATTGACCGTTGATTAATTCGGGTGGGTCCCTATGAGAGTAGCCGTTTATTTACATCGCCCGTCGTAGTTTCAACAGATATATCGTTTCTTTGCGAAATGATATCACCAGTTTGGTTAAGGATGATTCGATGAAGGAGTTTGTGGGCGACAGAAAGTAATAATACTGGGCGGTCACTGCCGATCTCTTGTAAGTTTCCTTTCCCATGCAGTAGTCGATCTGCTGGTTTTCTATTCACTGACTTGGAACATTCCACACTGTTGGGCAAAGTGTGAGCAGCCAAGTCACTGTGTTGAGTAGGATGCACCCACAGGTCCCCCACATACCTAGGTCCAGTGCTCTCCGGATCGGGTGATGTGTTGCAAAGCTTCGGTGGAAGTTGCCGACGCGTTTAATGATCAACGCAGCTTCCTACTTTTCTTCGTTTACGTCTTCCTCTACTGCTTCTTGTTCCTTAGTTCCTTGTAGACATATATAACAGTATGTTTTTAAAGGGGGACTAATAAGTAAGGCACCACATTTACGTCGATTTTGCAACCTTATTCTTGGGTTTTGCATTTCTTATTTCTTTGTGCATGGAAATCCTTTGTTCGGACATGATGATCTGGTACCGGATAAAGCTTTGGGATAACACCTATATACTGAATGAGAGAGAGATCTGATTTTCGATGCAGTGGTCAACTTCATTATGTTGCTCTAAGGCTTCTACGTTAGACGTTGGCAGTCTTCTGGAATTATGAGTTACTATTACTGGTCTATTAATGATAGTGAATGTACAAGCCCTGTTCGTTCCATTTCAATCTATGGGTTCTCTTGTGAACCTATTCAGATATTCTTGACGACAACCATGTCGCTGAAATCTCAAATGACCCTGCAGAAGATAGGTCTTCCCTTAGGACTTTTTTAACCCCATATAAAAGACCTCGATCTCATCTTCGCCATTGTTTGACGTTAATGTATAAACAATAAGTAACGTCAGTGTTGGTATTTGTTCACATCTTTTCAACATTTGATTTGGTTTGTTGGTTGTTTAAATGAATCCGTGTTCATGGTCGAGTGTACGTTGAAATGGACACCAGCTCCTCATGACTCTTCTACTATTGCTCTGAAGGACAGTTCTTCTTTGGTATCTTCCCACTTCCTCAGCTTGATGACGTACTTCTACCTCCTTAACTTAAGTCATCATGTCCTCAGTGAAAGATCAGCTTTGTGAGCGTGGACCGTCGCCACAATCCAGCCAGGTTCTAGCAGCGTAACCTGGAGACTTTGCTAACATTGTCGCTTCTTGCTGTAGGAAATAAGATAGCTTGCCTTTACTGGCTTTGACGAGAAATACCTATGAGTAAGTTGCTACGTAAACCGTCAAATATATGTGATATATAAGCAGTGGGTGGCTCGTTCTACAAAAAAGCTCTACTTCACCCGCGCACTAAGCCAACTACGCCTCCCCATCCGTCCGCGGTCAGGAATTCGGTACTAAACTTGTTTGTGGTTAACTTGCTCCCTTCAGTGTACAAAAGATTGCGTCTGTCTATGATGAAGATCTGAGAACGCTTTAGCATGGCTATCCCATGACGCAGGAAGAATCGACTCGACCAACATTCGACGACATTCGTAAAGAAGACAAAAATCCTAAATGGTAATCGAACGCACACGCAAATCCGAAGACCTTCGTGGATGATGAACACCAGAAGCGAATGAAATGATAGAAGTGTCGGGATTCGTACAATATATGTGAAAACCGATCATGTAAAATAAGTAAAGGATCATAGATCATTGGTGGATTTGTTGAAAAAGTTCAGATTTTCAGTTTCCGGTAATTGTTGTGAGCGGGCATATTCCGGACCAACTGCAACGAACATTTCATAAATTAAAGATATTGATCGCACATTGTGTAGCCATGCTGGAACACGCCGACTCTCTTTTAATAAAGGTATAATTCCTAACAAAAATCCAAATTTTTGGCAGATTTCACGTACGATGCTAATCAGTATTTTCTAAGCATCCCTAAGGCGCAACTGATCTTCTAGTCCACTCCCGAATGTGAACGGAACATTTCGAGAAAACATTATTAAGCTGGTAACATTACAAATACTAAGATATTTGCAGAACTTCAAACCTGCCGTGAAAAACTGTAGAAGGCGGCAAATAAAAAGTAAAACATTGTGATTCCAACTAGAAATTCAGCTTAATTGGGTCTATTGCCGATTTGGGCTCCCCAGATGATGGTGAACACGTTAGCCCTCGGAAAGGGTAACAGCGCGTTCGTTCCCCACCGCAGATACCTGCGGTCCGAAATTTTGCAAATACCTCAGCATACTTGTGGTTGTATTTCGCATAATACCCTGCCGCGAAAAATTGTAGAAGGCGGCAAATAAAAAGTAAAACATTAGAAATACTAAAACAACAGTAGTATCTTTATCTAGAGTTCCCTCACGTTTTCAGATTGAAGAATCCATCAAGCATATCTCGGAAAGCCATGATCAGCTGAGTCGTTTGTGTCCCGAAAACGGCCTAAAGGGTCAGAAAGCCACTAGAGCTGCCGAGAACTTCACTTGGAATCTAAGGTCAAGTCGCTCAAATTACCTTCATTTTTCCTTTGTCAATTTTTTCCCTACAAATCACCTTTTCATGCTTCTAACCCTTCGAAGTTTCAGAAAAACGGGGCCATCACCTTGGCAAATAAAATTTTCACATTCATTTTCCTTGTTATATTCATTGCATTCATTACTGCTTCCGCTTTGTATTAAAAAAGTCACTTTTAGGCTACTTAAAGCTCAACTCAGCCATGTCAGCAAAAGTCAAGATGAAGCACAGGATATCATAACCCAAGTAATCGATAACCATCTATACATATAATTTGAAGTGAAACAGTTAGTTAACCGGTTGCAATTCTCACCTACATCTGGTTAGATACCAACGAAATATTCAGGATTAATTCTAGTTGAGGCTTAAGAAAGTCGCAAAGTAACGATGGGCATGTATCAGATTAAATGAGCCATTATATTTGTGAAGAACGTCAAACTCATTTTTTTCAGGTATTCGAAACCGGAGGCGTTCTAGGAATCCTCTCGTCTAAGCTAATGGCTCGAGCCGGCCGAAGATTTTCCCGAGTGATCCACGATCCCACTAGGGACTCCTCCCTGTGAACAAGTTCCTCTCAATCCATCACCACGACTACCCACTCAATACGAGGCCAAGCCAAGTTGATGCATCCCTATTCTCACGGCCAAAAAATTAAGCCCTGGGCCTAACATTGTCGCGTTCCCATGAATCTCACTTAGAAGTATTGCGCTAATCCCTCAATGTCATTGCTACTACAAATATTGCGTACAGCACCCGTTCACTTACAATTTCATCGTTTCCTTTTCGTAGATTTGCCCTGTTATCTGTAGCTCACTCATTATTATTATTATCATTAATTGTGGACTGATTCACGCAGGAAATACCACACTCATCTGCCTTTGTCACTCACCGCATCTGTCCAGTGAATTCCGTTTGCTGCAGAGTTGCGAGCAACACTTCTTCCTGCGTGAGGACACTTATACTCACTATTTTTGCGGGAAGGGTATCCACGGGTAATCACAGGGCTTCGAATACTCATAGATCATCTGCTATACTTCCCATGATTAAATCGTAAACTTACTTACTGGAGGTGACATCAAAACACCTCCACTTAATTCAAGGTTTCAGGCTAAACCTACGTACTGAATACATCCTTCGTAAATATAGACGGATATTATCACAGAAAAACGCAGAGCTAATATGCTGTCGTTTGGTTCATATTTAATCCCACATCAGCCATTAACCCACAACCTATACGACAAACCAGCTCAAGTGTAGCATAAATCTAACAATATCATCATTGAATAAAATATTTATTCCTTTTTGTGCATAAATTCGTTTGTACAGATCACAATATGAGATCAATCTAAGTCAGATCCACTTCCACTTGAGTAGCCGCAAAGTCCAAGTAAGGCATTTGCTGGTTGCGACGTGGAAGACGATGGAACAGGTATAGAGGGTACATCAACTTGCTCGGTTTTCACTTCTTCCTCGTCAACTGGCTCGGTTTTCACTTCCATCTAAAATACATCTCTTATGAGGGAGTAAGCACAGCCACTAATAAAATAATATTAATGAAAAAAATACATTCTGCGTATAAAACAAGTAATGAAGGAATTAAATCTTATCACGTTCACATTCCACGTACAAACTACAATTCAGAATTGTTCAACAACGAAATATGATGTAAGCAGTTGAACAGCCACCGGGAAGTTTCAACTACAACAGTAATACGAAGTAATACAATCATAACTTATAGGTAATGGATCATAGGTAATGACGCATGTATCACATTGTGCGGAACTCAGCACCTCTTGCATTTGAGTCGCATTTTCGTATCCATCACCCAAGAACGTCTTCAAACTCTTTTGCCTGTGTTCAGCTGCAGGTTGGAGATTTTGTCTTCGTAATGAATGTTGCCGAATGTTAGTCGAATAGATTCTCTCAGGAACCCTGGGATAACTGTGCTAGGGCATTCCACGTAGAATGGAGGATGTGAGTTGGCCTCAGATAAGTCTGGAACCAATGACGCGATCCCTTACGCTAGGGAGGCTTGGCGTGCTCTGACCGAGGTAGAGCTAGCGCACAGGTAGAAACAAGATCATCACACAAAAAAATATGACATGTATGCGTAATAACTACCGAAGTTTTAGCAGAGAAGTTTGACGTTGGTTCATGGTTTTGAAAACAGATTACTAACACCTCTGGTATAAACAACCACTAAAATGATGTTTTCACAAAACCGCATGATTCCTACCAAAATAATTTCTTAAATTTTGTAGCCTTTCTAGAATATTTCAACTAAAGTCAACTTAAATTTGTGGTTAGACGATGTCTTTATTAACATAGAGATTTCTTATGAAATACGTAGAAGAAGAATAGCCAATAGTAACAAAACTACAAAGATTAACTAGCGATGACCATGAATGTTATAGGATACCATTTCCAGAAACCAAATAAACACAATCATTGGTATGCAATAAGCTTCATCCACTTTACTGACAATACCTCTGAAACTCGAAAAAACTAATTTTTTCACTCACCTTCTGCTTCTTTACAACTACCATCTTTGATAACAGGGACTTCTGATCAGTTGTTCGTTTTGGTATGTCTTTTGCAAATGTCGGTTTCATATCAACTGGCTTTATTTCCGAGGACTTCACCAATGTCTGAAAAGACAATATTTACGAAGATACTCTCCATCAAAATGTCATAGACTATAACGGATTTATGAGCTCCGGTAACATTCAGTAATTCAGTAATTCAAAATCAGAAATTTAGTAATTTAAAAACTAGTGTTTTTCTAGCGTGATATACGTAATTACACTAATGGTTTTGCTAACAGAACATCTTCAGTAGGTGTTAAGACTCTATACTTGTATAGCTGATCCCGGATGAAGACTATCTGATTGCAACTAGTTCATACAACTGAGTTCTTTAAGACCTATAGAGCGATGAGGTACAATAAAATCCTACATCGTAAGACGTAGCAACGATTATACAAAAACGCTTAGCCTTGTTAAACTAATGATTACGTAGTAATTACATTGGACTCATATATTTCGTGGCCTATTCGCAAAGTTTAACATTCGGCCGCATATTTATTACGTCATTTGCGAGATATTTGTTTTTACTAATATCCTTGACTACAAGGTAAAATTCGACCGTTCATCAAAATTCGTTCAAAACTCCGATATTAAGCACTTCAATGAAAACCTTGATGTCCCACATACTGCAACAATTCTGCGACCAAACTCCTTTTTAATGTAAAAAAATATTATGACATTCGCAAGACCATTTCTTCGAAGTTTCACGCCACTGCTTTTCCAAGTTATCACAACACACAGTAAAGGATAAAAAGTATAAAGCTCTCGGCGTTGATCACTCTCTGAGGGATCAACCATGTGTTCAACTTCATTAAGCATCGTTGGAGGTGATTGAATGCATACCTGGCCCTTAATGACTCACGGTGGCCTACCGATACATCGAGCCAATGCTGCTATCCTCCCAGACAAATCTGGTACCAATTTGCTAACCCTGAAGGGATAGAGAGCTTGATGAGGCTGGGGCACGGGAATCGATCCCCTGTGTGTGTTGCAGGGCGCCTCCGAACACTGCGCCACAAGCGTCCTACAACACACAGTAGCCTATATTTATTGGTTAGTGGCAGTCACCTTGTGACAAGGATTACTTTTAGACAGTAATCATTTCAAGTACCAGTCCGTTGTTGGCTATGTTTCCGAAAATACCCTTGATGACCCTACTAGAGCATGAGTTTTTGGCATGCCGCTACAAAATACCCTGGAACAAATCGTAGTCATACTGTGCCACTTCACAGAACACTGGGAACATTAAACATTTGAAAGTAATTAAATCCTCTAATTAGAATAGCAATGCTCGAGGAAAGAATTGCAAGTTTGCTCTGGATCTATACACCCACTGCAATTACGCAGTTCGGTAGAAAACTACCATCCGGTAATAGATTTTAGGAAGTCCAAGAAGCACTTTTCTTTCACCGGAATTTAACTATGCTAGTCTATTTTAATGAAACATTCGACAGAACAGTCCACTAAAGAGAATTTAGAAACCATCTCTTTCGAATTCCACACCCGTCTCTATCAAGCTCTATACCGATTCCGTTTGACAACGATGAAGCAACAAAACCTTAGAAAATTTCTTAAAACTAACGGAAATTAAAAGGACGACTCACGTGCCGACTTGTGCTTGGTGTCGTCGCATCGTCCTCTTCCTTTGTGTCATCTATTCTCTTCATTATCTTTCCATCAGCAGTTTTGCCATAGATGCTTCTTGAGTACACAGTATTCAACACATGAAATAGAACAGCTGCGATTATTGTTCACAAAACACTGAACTCACCTTATCAAGGCTTCATCCTCCTCCTCTTGTAACTTAACTTGCTCAGCCAATGACAGTTCAGGTTTAGTAGCTTCCAGAAATCTCTCGACATCAACTGCTTCCTTATTCCGGCTAATCTCTTGTAAATCTTCCAGGTTACCTAAATTCAATTTTACAAAGTTGGATTACGAAGTTTTCAAGGTATACAATAGAGAACACATGAAATGATCGGCTACCCATGGCTTCCATTTCTGCACGACTCATCATGGTTCGTTTTTCAAGCATCTTCATCGGATCCTTCTTGTCCTCCTCCTCCTTTGCTTCTTTAGCTTTCTCTGCATCTTGATAAAGTTTGATAGCTTCGAATAAACGAGTTGCACCATGCTCCTAGAAAAAAAAGAACGTGGCTGTAGCGAGAATAAAATTCATGGCCAGCATCAGCAAATTGCACAAATATGCCAAAAACCCAGTATTAAATAAGGCGTAATATTTTAAACCCTCGCAATGGTTTATCGCTTTATAGTGGATGAGAGGTGTTCCTATGTTCCAGGCTGAGATGTACAGCAGGGGTATTCATATCTCTAGCAGGGCCTCCCAGACTGAGGAGTCCGGCGATTCCATTAGGAAGCCTAGCCAAGAGTAAACCAATACCACGATCCCTTATCATCCTGGCATCGAACTAGTCGCATAGTAGCAGATCTGCCTCTGATTCACAAAAGCAGCGATTGCCTGTAGCGGTGACGACTTAGGGCAGACTTTGTCTAGACTGGTGTCGTTACTCCAGGGAACCACAGTGACTAAGCTAACAAAACTCCGAATAAATGTAAATTGTGCTGAAGCCAGCACAACCAGGGAAGATGGGCCACCCAAGTATCCAAGTAAGTAAGAAATATTTAAATAAATAAAAAACACTCACATTTTGATAGTCACAATTTTCTAAATCCGTCTTAAATGTGATTTCAGCTAAACAATTAGGACACCTGGAACAATACATGTGTTACGTCAAAAGAATTATTAAGCAAACAAGCACGCAAAAACACAAGGTCTGATTTGGAAAACAAAGCATGGTAATCCTCCCAACGATTCACCGCATCATCTTGCCTGGGAAGTGTTCCTAGGTGTCGGGCTGAGATGTACAGCGGAAGTATTCATCTCTCCGGCTAGGTCTCCCAGATTGAGAAGGAATCCGGTGTTTCCACTAGGAAGCCCAGCTAAGAGCAAACTAATAGAATCCTTCACCATCCTGGCATCAAACTAGTCGCATAGTGGCAAATCGCCCTCTGATCCACAAGAGCGGCGAGTGACTGTGGTGGTGACGACCTGAGGCAGACTTTGCCTAGGCTGAACACGAGACACCAAGGAAGCACGACGGCTAAGCCAGCAAAACTCCGAAAAAGTGGAAATTATGCTGGAGCCAGTACAATTAGTGAGGACGGGCCATCCGAGCATCCAAGTAAGGTACTAGTAATAGAAAAGTGGATGCAACGTACTTGAAATAAAATCTGAACAGCCTCAAGCCAAGATAATCTTCTCCTTCGACAGTTTCTCTCTTCATGTTGAACTTCTTGCCCTTATAAATGTATTCATGACAAGTATTACATTGCATATTGAAAGGTGTCATAACACGTTGAACGAATTGCCTTAAAAACGATAATGTAATCTCAGGAACCAAAATATAAACTGATCAATATGCATTCCTTCTTTGACAAGTTTACAAGACTTTTACAAATACAGCAAATAAACTATTAAGAATAAAGTATTTATCAACCTCATGGAAGCCTACCAAAGAAGGAATACCTATTGATTAGTCGTAGCGATGGTAAAGGAAAGTCGATTTTGAAATATAGCCTCAGTATACCTTGATTTTGTCCCTTTTGCTCTAGGCAATTTAGTTGGATCATAGTCAGGTGGGTAGTATTTCTAGAAGAAAAAACTTGAAAATAACAAAACATATACGTGTGATACATTGTACAAATGGGGCAACTCACCTGGAAGACTTTACGTTCTGTTCCTGTCATATTGGTACATCAGTAAGAAGATTCCAGAAGAATACTTGACAATAAGGATTCTAGGAACAAAAGTTCAGGAATGGAATTCTCCAGGAGTGAGAAATTCATGACGGCGCGACGAAAATTGGTCGAAGAGTTGGCAACAAAAACTCGTCCAAACTGCGATTGCTTGCCCGTCGCCGTGTCGCGACATTGCGACATCGCAGGTGCGATAGGCGATGCGCTCTTGGATTAGGGGACATTTTTCGTCTCTGTTATAGAATCATATAAAAGTAAAGGGGACTCGGCCTAGTAAGATAGTGCTTCAGTATCGAACTTTTAGTCCAATGAGATTAACTAAGTATTCCCTAGAAAATAAAGCTGTCCGTGTTGATCAATCCTTGAGGGATGCGCCACGTATTCGACTTCATTAAGCATCCTTAAAGCTTAACTCTTTTATTTACTGCTTTTTTTAATGGCAGGGTATGTTGCGAAATATAGCTCGTATATAATGCTGAGATATTTGCAAAACTCTGGACCGCAGGTGTATGCGGTGGGCAACGAACGCTCTATTGTCCTTTCTGGGGAGTAGCGCACTTCACCACCGCACCATCCGAGTCCTTCGTTCTGCCTGTCTCTCAGCTAGTTCTATCGATTTTTTTGCCATCAGCAATCACCCGTCAACGGGATTGATCTGGGGAGCCCAAATCGGCATTGAACCCAGTTAAGCTGAGGCTTAGTTATAATCACAATCTTAATCCTTTTATTTACACCTGCGGTCCGCAGTTTTGCAAATATATCAGCATTATATACATCCTTAAAGCTTTTTGAATGCATATCTAGTCTATACAATAAACAATAAATCACGGTAGCCTATCAATGTATAGAGCCAGTGCTGCTATCCTTCTAGACAGGTCTGGTACCAATTTACCGACCGCGGAGGGAGGAAGAGAGGGCGTGTTAAACCGGGGGGAGTGGGAATGAACCCATGTGTGTTGCAGGACACCTGTAACCACTGCGCTATACGCGCCCAATTAGTAGAGTAGTGCTTTATTTTCAAAGCTTTGGTCTGCTGAGACTAACAAAATTGTTCCTTATATAAAGAGAGAATCAAGGAAAAGCTGTTGGGTGTTAGAACACTCTATTCTTTCTTCATATTTTTGTTGAGCAAACGCGAGGTGTTATTATTCTTTATTCACGAATGAGCTGACGTTTCGGCGGATTTCGCCTTCCTCAGAGCCGCTTTCTATGAGGTCTCCACTAAGTATGTCACGTAGAGACCAACCGCACAGAAATCACATGGAAGTATAATGGACATTATGACATACGTGACATACTCTACGTCACATACTTAGTGGAGACCTCATAGAAAGCGGCTCTGAGGAAGGCGAAATCCGCCGAAACGTCAGCTCATTCGTGAACAAAGAATAATAACACCTCGCGTTTGCTCAACAAAAATACGAAGAATTACTTGATCAATGCCGAGGTTAATAGAAAGTCGGTCGTGGGAGTTACTCTGTTCTTTGATGGTTTTTTTCTTCTAGGTTTGTACAAATATCTGAATTATTGCGAGTGAGACTAAAATTTTCACTAATAGTAGTGGACCTGAGAGCTGTTACTTTTCCGAAAACGCCACGATTCAGAGGATTTCCATTTCAACTCTAAAAATATTCCGGAATATCTTATACAACGATGAACCCATATAGCGAGGATGAACGGCTACGAACAACCATAATGAAGATGAAATATTTTCAAAACTGAGAACTCAAGGCAGATTCGAATTTGCGGTTACCCTTTACGGCGCCCACGTGCTACCCACTGCATCACTGAGGTCCTCGTTTTGATTTCCTCTCATCCAATTTTTTTATCCTAACAGTAACATCAGCAATCACTCGTCAACGGGAACGACCTGGTTAGCAAAAATCGGCACTGAACCAGTTATGCCGAGGATGTAGTTAAAAGCACAATGTATGACTTCTTATCTACTTCCCACTATTCTTCTTTCTCCTCCATTTGTGTTCTTTCTTTTTTTTCATTTTTTTCCAATCGAATCAAATCGACCTTTTTCTGAAGAAGACGAAGGCGTCGAAACGCCACTCGAATAAACCTCCTACTACTAACCTCGTGTTAGCTCAGTAATCTTGAAAATTATCCGTTGTGTCGATGGACAACAAAATCTGCATAATGTTATGTTTTTATTTACTGCCTACTACAATCTTTTTATGGCAGGATATTATGCGAAATACAACCACAGTGGTGCTGAGATATTTGCAAAACTCCGGAGCGTAGGTGTCTGCGGTGAGGAACGAACGCGTTATTACCCTTTTGGGAGGCTAACCCGTTCGCCACCATACCATGCGGGTCCTTCGTTTCGCTTGTGTCACAGCTAAATCTCAGGACAATCCCGTTGATGGGTGATTGTTGATCACACTGTTCGATAGAACTAGCCTGAGAGACAGGCAAAACGATGGACCCGCATGGTATGGTGGTGAACGCGTTAGCCCCCGGGAAGGGTAATAACGTGTTCGTTCCCCACCGCAGACACCGGCAATCCGGTGTTTTGCAATTATCCCAGCATCATTGTGGTTGTATTTCGCATAAAATATGCATAATTGTGAAGCATTTTGTTTCTCCTTCGACGCAATAACGCGTCAGTGTTCAGCTAAATTTAGAATAAAAAACCCTGTATTAAATTCACTCTAGCACCTACAAATCTAATCCAACATAAAATTTTTCTTTTTATTCTGCAGGTTCCCTTCTTTCACGTCTGCTACACGGATCCCAGCGCTTGCATTCAATTCCTCTCCTTGCATCCATCATCCACGAAGTTCTTCAAACTTTTCGTGTGTGTGGATTCGGCTACTGCTTGAGGATTGTCGCCTTCTTTACAAATGTCGTTGAGTGCTGGTCGAATCGATTTCCCAGGAGTCCTAGGATGTCCGAGCTACACCGTTTCCACTTAGATTGCAGGGAGTGGACTTTTCCCAGACAAATCTGGTATCAATTTTCCGATGCCCAAGAAATGAGAGACTTGCTGTAGCCGGGGCGTCGTCGAACGAGCACTATGCTCGTGATGGTCTATTATAATTTACATAATAAATAATAAGCAAGTATAATAAGTGGACACGAGCTAGTTATAACAAGAAAGTGTGAGCGCCCTGTTGTTCTCACGAATGGCTACACGAATAAATTGAAGAAGGTTTCTCTTCGCCCAAAGTTCAGTTTCATTCTTACTTCGCTCTTCGTGGCAAATCTTTGAACTTGTATTGTAACCACCCGATCGATAGATGAAATCATAGATGAGAATATGGTATTTCGTAGAAATTTCACATCACTTGAACATCTAGGAAACACTGGAATAGCTCTCCCTTCCTCCCCCCAACCCCACCTCTCTTGCCTGCTAGTGGTATCGGACGTGTTAGTGAGATTTAAGCACATTTTTAACACCGCACTTTACGGTAATCTACGTTTGGTTGCTTGTCTGTGGAAGAAACCAGTCACGGTTGGTTCAATACGTCATTTATTATCACTCTTTTATTGCTCAATTGTTTCTGTTCTACGTTTTTCACGCTACACCCCTGTTTTATCATTGGATTCTTTCTCCAACTACAACTGAATACACACTAGATGACTCACTTATTTACTGAATATAAGCTGGAATATTGCGTGTGGTCCATGACACATGGCGTGGACCCATTGAACTGTGGGCAAACGTTATCCGACTCACCTTTTTTTGTATGCTCCACGTTCGCTGAAAACAGTTATTATTGAGAAACTGGACATTCAGGGCTTCCTCGAAAATGCGAAACGCTCAAATAGTCAATTGAGAAGTGCGTTCGAACAGTTAATGGCTTAGCAAATGTTTGCCACTTGTTGGCGTTGTAAAATACTGCGATTCCACTGGCCGTTCATTCGATAGCCTTTCACTTCCACTACTATCATATTGAGTCACCCTCACTTGCTTCGCTTCATATTTATCCTTTCATGGTGTTCAGACCTCAATTGGCGTCGAAGCTAAACTTAGTATAACTTTTTATTTAATACTCGTTATTTTTTCATGGAACTGTATAAATATAAATAATATTATGTGAAGTGCAACCACAATGATGCCGAGATATTTACTAAACTCGGACCTCTGGCTTAGAGAAGAGCAGAAAACAAGCCTCAGTGGTGCAGTGGGTAACACGTCAGACCCAAGAAAGGCTAATCGCGAGCTCAAATCTGGCCTGGAGTCTGGGTTTTGCAAATATCTCAGCTTCTTTGCGGAAGTTAAACTTACTCCAAGGTGTATTATGACGATACAGATTACTTCCAACAAAATGAACGTTTTGCGTTTTTAATTCATTCAGAAAACGATCAATAGGTATATATCGCATGACGCTGGCTACAAAAGGAGACTGGTGTAGCGGAACTGTTCTTTAATGTTTAGGTCTTTATTTTCAGAAACAGTTTCATTGAAATTTCTCTAGAAATTTGTATTCCTGTTACTAGCTCCATTCTGCTTTTTAATCGAATTTCTTTGCAGTTTGAATTACGCTCCTTTCCCTGAAGAAAATGTTTTCAAAAGGATCTCTCTGTCAACACATTATTGAATCACAAAGATTCTTATGAGCATTAAAATCAGCATCTAGAACTGTTCTACACGCAAACCCTGGTTTTCGGCCTACGCCTGTTTCACATCTTCCAACTGTCCTATTTCTTATTTTCTCTTTTCTAGTTCTCATTATGTCATACTGCATCACTATTTTGAAAACTAGTTTGTATGACTAACTTACTGCCTTTCTGTCCCATTAATCACATTTTATAATGGAAGTATGCTGATTCTTTCTTACTGAAAGGCTAGTCACTCGATACATTATTCATAATGGGTACTGTCATACGTTGCATCTTGAGCCTGTCTTAGCTTAGCGTTGTTCATAAGCTTTCAACACTGTTTGTTTGATTTCATTCGAATCTACTGAACTCGTTCTTTTACTATTGTGGGAGGTGCGCTTGTGACTTCAAAGAATTTAAGGATCAGGGACACGGGA